AGACAATCCTCTCCCTCTTTGTTGTAACAATCTGGTCCGTGACCATCACTAGCCGATGTGAATTGATCACCTGTGTCCAGAGAGGCGACCGAACACGCACTCAAGTACTTCCCTCCCTTTCCTTCCCAGACAGGGGAAACGGCGGCCCAAACTGTAGTTGCTGCCCCTTGGTCTGCCGTTTCCATTGCCTTCACCGTATCCGGCTCCTTCTTCCATCTTTCAATATCTTCGGGCGCGGCATATTTTGTAAGCCCCGTCCAAATACTCCCTGGCATGAGACAAACAGAGTGTACCCCACGAGGCCCGTAGACACGATCCAAGTAATGAGACATCCAGTTTTGGGCAGTCTTGCTCTGGCCGTAAGCTATGAACCATTGATACTCACCTTCCAAATTGTAATTGTCCCAGTGAATGGAGCTGTACCGATGGGAAGATGAAGAGACGACAACAACGCGCGAATTGAACTCCGGCGTACTGCTGGTGATCAGTGTGGGGAGGAGCATCCCAGTCAAAATGAAGTGTGCCAGATGATTAACAGCAAAGTGTTTCTCATAGCCATCTACTGTCTTGGTTTCTGGACAACCCATTATGCCTGGTCTAAGTCAGCTCATGACTCTCAAGAGCCTCTGTATGCGGCAACAAGTAGGGTCTCCCCTACCAGCATTGTTGATCAGTATATTCAGCTTGTTAGATTTATTCAGAAAATCTTGGGCTGCTTGTCTGACATTCGCGAAAGCATCCATGTCCATCACGATATAGTCTAATTTCCCTGTACCCTCGGATGACTTGGAGAGCTCAGACAGTGCCAACTGGGCTTTCTCTTCGGTTCTTGCTGTGATAAAAACATCCGCGCCGGTCGCATGCATGGCCTTGGCCGTTTCAAAACCAATGCCTGTATTGCCCCCAGTGATGAGGACAACTTTTCCGGGCCATTTGTTGACGACTCCATTGTCACGAATAATTTGAAGTGCTGTCGGGCGAGCATCCCCTGGCCCATTAGGGTTGGCATACGCATCAGTATAAGAGTTCTGGTGTGCCATTGCGTCTGCCTTAGTAATTAGCGATACTGAGAATAGAATAGGTAGCTTTTGAAGTGGTGCAATGACACTTTTTCTTTCATCTTGCATTGCTTCGCGGGGATTCACCCCTTTTATGCCTTCTCGGGTCAAAAAAAAAGCCCTTGGCCTTTCCTTGAGTCTCAAACCACAATCCGCAACCTGATGCGCCGCAAATTACTAATTGCAGAAACAAATCTTGTCACTGACAACCGAAATCAAGAGGTTCGAGTCTGGCCATATCGAGTCGGGACGTCTTTTGCAGGTATGGTTAGCAATCGGAGCGGAAGAAGCGGGGTGGAGGAGCGGCTAAGGTGACGATGTCCGCTCCGGCCTAAAGCGCTCGAGAAAAAGGCTAGCAAAGTAGATTCTAAGACAACTAGTTCATTGAGTTTCCAATCCTATGATAGTAAGCGTACTAGCTCTAGATCTTAACGGCTCAGCTATATCCGAACTCCGTTGATGCGGCACCTCATGAGGTCATAGTGGGCTGAGAGTCATATGGATGGGTTATTTCGCTCTTAGGCTTACCGTATGCCAGAGAAACCCCTTATAATGTCCTGGATCTTGTTCTATCTGAAAATTGAGGGGTATTGAAGCAGTGGTGGCTCATCTGGAGGGGATATCAGGGGATATCAGAAGCATATACAGGATCTGAACTAACTGAATAACTACATTGACACACTAATTTCAAACAAAATATAATCCCGCCTCGAGCCCATGGCAGGCTCGGTTTCATAATCCAGTTCATTTTCAAGCTTCATGTTCATAAAGAGAAAGGTGACCCATATTTCAACTACTGCTCGAGTCCCACCAATCTCCTTAGCAAGAGAACCACTTAAGGTGAATCTGGTGAGTGAAGGCAACAGTGGCATCGTCATCGGTGATCTGACCAGATGCAGAGCCATCCGAGCTGGTGAGTGCCACCCTATTGTTGATGTTCAATATCGCTGAACCTCCGCAAGGTGACCTCACATAGCTCGCTGTCGGGACCTGGTCCGTCTTGGTATACACCTGGCCACTAGCCCAGACACCTCCGCCAGAGATAGAGGTTCTCGTCGTCGAAGTGGCTGCAGCATCCTGACTAAAATAGTAGCTGGAGAAGAAAGTTCCAGTCACACCAGGATCGAGCTGGGCGAATCCGTGATAGGTGCTGTCAATGACAGCAAAGCTGAAGCCTCCAGGATACTTGAGATTTAGGTGTAATTGGCAATTCTTGGTGTGATCTGTTACAGATGTCCCGGGACCAATATACGTTTGAAATGCATCAAAGCCGAAAGTCACGTACTATTCAGACATTGGTCAGATAATTATCCCCGACTTTCTTTGAAGAGACTCCGAGGCTCACAGTTCTGTCGGGACTAAGATTGGTTGAAACAGTCCCCTGAGGACACCCGTTGCCAGAGGTGCTGACGCTGCCTATGGAAATTGCATTCTTATCTTGGGCCAGTGCAAAGGCCGGAATGAGTAAAGCAATGAATGATCGCATGTCTCCACTGGGAATTTCATATGATTGCACGTACAATGGCAATCGGACAAGGCTAGACAGATGTGCTCAAGATAGGCAAGAGGTGATGAAAGGCTAATGATGGTCATGTTTCTGCGGGGAGTATGCTTAAATAACTAGATGGAGCTTCGAGAGTTTGGTGATCAATGGCGTGTTTTGGTCTCATCGTGGCTTGACGAAGCCTCGTACTTTGAGATAATGTCTATTGGAATTGGAGTCGACAGATCCGGACTGCGGATGTCCACTGGGTGGCAGAAGGCGGATAAAGTAGAGCATCTTAACTCATTGGTGCACTTGGACATGTTTCTGCCAAAACCGGGTAAGGTGCCCAGCACCGTAAATGGGTTGCTGAAATTTTAAATGAAATATATATTGCGCACTTCTCATAATCACTATACTGGGCCAGTCAATTTCTCCAGATGCAAAACTTAGCTGCTCCTCAGTGATTGACAATCATTGGGGTTCCAGAATCTCCAGCTCGAAGCGATATATGTTTCTATTATTAGAACTGGTCTAGATGTAGTCTTGACACTGCTCCGGGTGACCTTATTAAGACGCGCGGTGGCTCCTAGTGCTATACCACTCACATTATTAGCACTGTCCCCAAGTTTCTAGCCTTTGAGCCCATAGGGATTGTTGTTTAGCAGAGTCTGCCTTGGTCCGGAGCATGGCTGATGCACCTACATCCGAAATTCCAACGCAGTCCAAGCTAGGATCGATACTGGGTAAAAGACGAGGCAGGAGGCACTAGTGGGGAAAGGGGCTAGGGGTTATCCATATAATGACTCAAACACTTTGCTAAAAGAATGCAGAGTTTAGGGCATTTTATTACATCACTTTGTTACAAATCCAGATTATTAGATAGAGTTTTGCATATATTCAAGCCATATTGTAAGTAGCCAGGGCTGGCTCATTGTCCTGTTAGCCGGAGACATGGTCGATTGCTGCAACTGTTGGCTATATTTTGTGATTTCGAAGCAAGCATTGTTTTGATTGAGTCAATCTCAGGTAAGTCATCGCTTTCCCCCATGACTATTTGACATTCTATTTAATCGTACGGGAGATACGTATATGAGCTGTAACTGGTTTCCTTACCGCCGCTGCAGACTCACTCTAGGCCTGACCTACTAAAGTAGCCAGATCTTAATTTCCATACCGGTTCAGAATCCTTCCTACAGTTACGTCTTAAAATTATATAGCCTAGAGGAAATTCCAAGTCCTAAACCAAATAGGTCGAGATATTTTAGGATGCCATGGGATAGAAAGTACGTCGATGATTTAAAGCTCAGTCCTTCCTCATAAGCACTCACAATTAGACTACACACTCGGACGGCAGGCGGTATTTACCACGATGTTCTTGAGTCTATGGCCTGGCGTCAAGTCATGGGCAAATCCGCAAGGCCCGACGTGGACCCAGTCATGCGCTTATCCTTTTTCGAAGACTTGAGGTTCCATTTGCGGCACGATTTCAGCCGGTACCTGTAGGTTGTGCTGGAGAGAGCTATGAGACAGCGCAATACTCCAAACATTCTCAGAATGCCACGCGTACCGAGCATATTCTGCAATCCCCCGGCGTTATATGTCGATGTTGCCCAGGCGCTGACGAACTGACCGACCTCGATCTCATTGCCTTGGCTACTCTGGTAGTCGGGAAGTCAAACAATGATGGTGAAATATTATCAACCGCCCTGCACATGAAATACGGCCATACCGTAGACGGCTGGTTAAGGCCCTCTCACTGGGTCCTGCTGCCAACCAGCTTGCCAAGTCTAAGCCGGCAAAGCGCAAGCGGATGACAAAGCTTGAGTGCCTTGCACAGGACGCCGCCTTTTATGGATCAGAGGTGCCCGATAGTGTTAAGAGTAGTGCCAAAGAGAGGCTGTCGCCGGCATCTAAACGTGCACGGGATGCTGCCGAAGACGATAAGGAAGGTCAGATGTCTAGTAAAGGCATCACAACTCGGAGGCATTCATTGAATTTGTTAGTTCTGTGTATTTAGATCTGCATCAAGGGGTATACTTCTATACTTGCTGCTTTTACCATAAGGCATTAAAAACTCTTTCCCCTCAATTTCTTCACCAACTTCGAAGCCACAGGCTCTCATGTACTGAACGAGGTACATATAGACAAGAAAACTGCGTGAATTAAGTAGCAGCATTAGTTCATAGTAGTTGTCGGGCCCAAAGAAGTGGCCGCAAGGCCAGCGGAAGCGGAGTAAGAAACCCCGGAGCAAACCAGTGGTCACCGGAATTCCGGCGGCCGGGACAGTGACAGATCGCGGCCGCGTCGCCCGCTCGATCTGCACGGACTCATCGGCTTTGAATGTTAAACCTCTTCTGGCCTGAGTCGCGTCAAACTTTTTCTTGCATTTCATTTTATCTGATTCCGCATCCTGCAACATTTGTCATAGTAGCAGCACCTGCTGTTGTCCCTACACAATGCATATTATTTTGACTGGCGCCACAGGGCTGGTCGGGTCGGCTGTCCTTGATGCCCTAATCAAGAACAAGGCAGTGACCCAGATAAGCATCATTAGTCGGCGGCCTGTGAAGATGGCCGATGACGCACGCGACAGCCGAATTAGAGTGATAATCCACAAAGACTTCGAAAAGTACGACGAAGAACTTCTATCCCAGCTCAAAAACGCAAAAGGTTGTGTCTGGGCGTTGGGTATTAGTCAAAACCTGGTAGGAAAGGAGTAAGTAAAAGCTCTGGAACGTCGACGCGTTTGAGTTAGCTCTAACAGCACTACTACACAGGGAATACGTCAAAATCACAAAAGACTACGCGCTAGCGGCAGCGCGTGCTTTCCAGAACCTGCCCCCAGAGAATGAGCCATTCAATTTTGTTTACGTCTCTGGAGGCGGTACCACCCTCAAGCCAGGACGGTTCACGCCTCTCTTCGCGCGTGTCAAGGGTGAGACTGAGCTCGCTTTATCGGAGATGCGAACAGCAAATCCGTTGTTTCACGCGATGTCAATGCGTCCTTATTTCATCGACTACATCGCGCACGATGCCATCAAACCGTATATCCCCAACCAAGGTCTTATTCGGTCGACAGCCATGGCAGCCATTGGTCCTATCATTCGGGCTGGAGTCAAGAGTCAGTGGAGTCCTACGATTCCCCTGGGTCAGTTTCTTGTAGAACTGGCGGCTGGCGGGTACCGAAATCAATTACAAGGCGATGGAATTGAGAAGCTCGCTGAATTCGCCATCATTGACAACCTTGCATTTCGGAGACTGGTGGGCCTAGACAAGCATGCATGATGCATTGGAGTAGGGAATATGGATGGACTATGCGAGACTGTAACATGGTTGACCAAACTGCACTTTCACTTAATTAATGCTTCCTATGCCCCTGAACCTATTTTATATGGAGTTTCAGCCAATGTTAAGAGATGAAACACACGCTCATGATGTAATTATTCGAAAAACTTGAGACTCCAACCAACATCGGTATTGGCTCCGGGGACGTTGGCGCGCTGGTAGGTAATACTTCCCCACCACATGAAGGTTCCTGTATACCAGAACCTATTACCCCAGCTGTACTCGGTGCCCTTTGGGACCGCATGGAACATTAATGGGAATTTTGAGCCCGACGGGGGACTGGTATTGATGTCTCCATTGAGTAGCACGAAGGTATTATGGCCGGGACCGTTGACATAGAGTGTGGCATCCCATCCTGACATCATTGTAGACTGATTCGAGCCAAAAAGACAGCCATTAGACTTATACCAGTCCCAAACATATGTCGGGTCGCCGCCGGCGCGAAGACGTAAGTCAGCGAGACAGTACTGGTCACGCCAACTGCCATTAGCCGAGTAAACGATGTGGAGTTGGCCATTTGGGTCTTTGATGGCCTCCGGACCCTCGTTGATGAATGGATCACCAACGACACGTTCCCACGACTCGCGGGGTTGTGAAATTATATATCGCGCTCCTGTTGGCTGAGTTGGGCTACTCATGCGAGTGATGTACAGGTTCTGCTCCACGTTTGTGTCGCCAGCCCAACCAGACCAGACAAACCAGCGCTGTGAATTGAAAGTGAACATTGTCCCATCGATAGCCCACTTATCATCCGCCAAGGCGAGTTGTGTCTCAGCAGTATACCCGCTAGCCGGTGAGGCTGAACTGATCACAAACATGCGGTGCGCAGAGCCTACACCGGCCGAGAAGTAAATATAATAGCGACCGCCGTCGGTGGTGATCTCCGGTGCCCAGACCTCGCCTCTACCCTGGGTATCAGACCAGACTTGTTGGGGTGTGACGCTTGCCAGTGCATCAGGGGAAGACGCCTGGCGGACAGCGATACCCCCATTCAGTGACTGAACGGATATGTATGTGGTATCAATACGCAATACACTGGGATCTGCCCCACGAATGCTCTGGCCGCCTTCTGCATTGCTCACCATGAGTCCGAGAATGGCAGCCAGCATTAGAGCGAGCGTACTCGCTGCACTTTTGAGCATGCCTGCGCATTGTTTCATGGTCTTAATTGAGTACGATTAGGTCAATGGAGTTGGTAGTGTCTTCGGGTCTTCTTCAACTCTGCGACATCCGTCATTATTTATCTTTCCCAGGAGATGCATCGTGTCATCTATTCTAGAGTGTGTGTATATAGGCCGCTTTGTAAAGGGTTATGTCGTGTTCGCCGAGCTGAAAGTTACGTTGCAGTTGCCGTAGTTAAGTAAAGTAGTATAACGCCATCTTCCTTAATTATAGCCCCATGAAAACCATCACCCCGCTCACCCGCACATAGCATGAGCATTTGCGGGACTTTTACGCCATAAAATTTTCCTGCACGCGCCGTGCCTGCATATCTCATCATACTTTATGATCCCTATGGTCCTTCAGTACTAGTAGACAGTATTGGTCTTGAAAAAATCATCCATCATTTCTTCTCTCGCGACATACACGCCATTTTCCGACGTTGGCTGATCAGGATACACCATCGACGTGGTTACATGCGTTAAGCTAGCGTCCGAGGGAGGATCGCCAAGTGTCCGAATGGTACCATTTGGAGACTGTGACGGTCGCCATGTCATGCCGCGAATGATCAAACTTACAGGGGAAGCAGGAGTTAGTAGAACTGTTTTTGGACACAGCTGATCTCCACTGCGGGTTTCCTGGGTGCCGAGTATAATTTGCGTCGTTATGAAAGTGCTTGAAATACTTGGACGTCTTCTTCGAAATCTCAGATCCTGTTGTGACCCTAGTTCCATAGACAATGGGGCCATGGTAGCAAGATGCCGAGAGGTGACGAGTGTTCTCCTCTCCTATGACACCGAAGCCCATTCATCTGGAGACCATTTAATCGCGCTTATGTACGCATAGTGGCTGGGGGCGGGATAATTGACAGAATATAAGGAATCCGGAACATGATGGCGGGTGCATAGATCTGCTAGTTTTTGGAATTGTGAATCTTATCGTTGTCTAGGATTGCTTTGCAAAGGTAATTCCATGAAATTGAGTACAGTCTCCACTACTTATCCTTGGTTATTACCTCTGTTTCTTACCTCCTCTTGCCACCAGAAGGTATCATATATCAATGAGAAACTCGACTAGCGTAATCTGAGGCCTCTGAAAGTATAGAGAGAACATGCTAAAAACCAATATAAGAGAAATACATTTAGGACACCGGTGGCTCGAAATTCTGCCAGTGAATGCCAACATTTCGCTACTACCCGGTCTTGAGAATCATGTTGAGCAAACGGAAGACACAGCTTCTGGCAAAAATAATCGACTAAGATATGACTGGACAAGGAGTGTCCTAAGACATCTTTCAAAAGGCACCGTGTACTTCATCACGCGAGTTTCAATCATACAAATAAATAGAACCAAACAGCAGGTGATAGACACCAACAGGCAAAGTTATAGTGGCGAGTTGTTAATCAACAAGTATGTTTTCACGACGATAAGGTAAAAGGACTGCGTATGCTTGCGAGATTTGACAATCTTAGACATGCGTTTGTGTCAATGGAGTCTCGCCGACAGATTCGCCTGAAAGTGTTCATTTTGTCTAAACAACAAGATAGCAGCTCCAGATTTCAATCCGAGACTTTGGCCACATAGGGAGATCTAAGGGGTCGCAAACACCGAGGCTAAGCTGACCGAGAATGGCGGCAATCTACGCTGTCGAATTATCTTTCACCTCAAAGAGGATGATGTTGGGCTTCACCGACTAAGCTTCCATCAAAGTAAAGCAAAGAGTGATCATCCCGAAGAACCATTGTGTTGGGTCTACATATGAAACGTCATATTGCTATCAACAGAGCTAGCCTACGATGCCTTGTCCTTGAGTGTTAATAAGGAAAAACATAGGAGAACACCAAACACGACAGACAACACATCTACCCTCAACGACCTATATCACGCCTACAGGTGGGTATGTCCTTGAAATCAACATTGCCTCCTAAAAAAATGCTGTCTTAAATGCCCAGAGGAGAAAAAAGTAGCCTGTAGTCTAACGCCCGACAGCTTCAACGCGGAGCCCAAGCTTGCTCATCTCGCGGGCATCGATAATTCCTTTTCCGTCAAAAAGCCACTTCGGCTTTTGCATGTGGTAGCTGACCTTTGCCCAGTCAAGCCTCTCCTTGGGATGATACTCACTGTTCGGGTTGTATCCACTCTTCTCGGTCTGGCAATCAGGACAGTCTTCGCCACAAAGAGGTTCTGACTTGTAGCGCTGTAATGGGTTGCTTGCGCCAACAGTATCCGAGCCTATCATGACTGAGCTTACGAGATACTTGTGCAGTCTGAGGAGGTCAGACTCCGTGGGCTCTAGTCTCTCAAATGGTCGTGGATCAAGCGACACTTTTGGCAGATGACCTGCCTGCAGCGGCCCGCCCGCCAGCCCTTCAGGTCCGAGAACGTTGGACTGGGTATTTTTGAACTCGTCGAACTCTGTGGTTATGAGGACCGCATTTGCATCATCACAAGCCTCATAAGCAGTTGTGCAGATGGCCAATGGACCCCCATTCTCAACCAGAAGCCTGCCATCGTTGACATCCTTGAGAATTGCGCACAATTCCTCACGCATCAAGACGGGATTGCAGCAAGGGTCAAATACCGCCACCTCGCGAGGGCCTTCCTCCAATAGCGTTTTGATGATCTCTAGTGCCGGGGACTCTCTTGTATCGCTGGTGTTCTTTTTGAACGCATACCCTAGGACAGCGATCTTTTTACCTGCGAGGGTGTTGTTCAGACACCTGATTACACGCCTCGCGAAACGATCTCGGCTGTACTCGTTCATCACGATGACTTGTTTCCAGAAATCAGCCACTTCATCCAAGCCCAGTGACTGAGCCAAGTATACAAGTGACAGAACATCTTTTTTGAAACACGACCCGCCGAAGCCAATACCTGCCTTGAGAAACTTGTCCCCAATGCGTGGATCACACCCTATGGAAGCGGCAACCTCATCAACATCAGCACCCGTCTTCTCACAAATAGCAGCTATGGAATTGATGGATGAGATGCGTTGCGCCAACATGCTGTTAGCGACGAGTTTCGCGAGTTCTGAGGACCAGACATTAATGCTCTTAATGTGGGAGCGAGGCACCCACGAAGCATATACCCCTGCGAGCGCTTCAGCGGCCTTTTTGCCGGCGACGGTCATGGAAGATCCTATGAGAACACGGTCTGGGTGCATGAGATCATTCATTGCAGTACCTGCCGCGAGGAACTCGGGGTTGGACAACACCTCGAATGACACACCTGGCCGATGGATGGCCATCTATAGCAATGAACCGTCAGAATCAACCAATCACGGTATAGCGAAGACGGGGTTGGCATACCGTCTCCTGCACGAGGTGTGCTGTGCGGCAGGGCACCGTGCTCTTCTCCACGATGATAGCACCCGGCCGCGCGTGCTGCGCTACAACCGCGGTCACGGCTTCGAAGGCAGTCATATCCGTGGCGCTCCCTGCCCCTGCCCCTCTTGATTTGGTCGGGGTGTTGACGGCGATCAGCACAATATCTGCTGCAGCAATAGACGCAGCCACGTCGGTGCTGAAGACAAGATTTGGCTTCCGGGCTGGCACCGAGACCAGGCTGTCTCGATGGTCACCGCACTGGCACTGGCTGCCGCATTCGGAAGAGGATGTCGATGCCAGCGAAGCGGCGTCTGCACCGTCTAGGAAGTTGGTGGCACACTTGGCCGGTTCATTTAGAAACGTAGTCTCGTGGGTGCCGTCCCGGGCAACGCGGACGATGTCTTCGAGGCCAGGCTCATAAATCGGGGGGTGCCGGCTGTTCCACCGGCGAATGCGGCCGGCATCTCGATCGACGACGGTGACACGGATGTGGGGATTCTGGAAGGCAATCACCGAGGCGGTGGGGCCGCCTGGGGGCCATGATCAGCACGGATATCGGTTTCTCGGGCTCTACCCCCCACCAGGGTTGGCCAGTATGCCTGTTTTGAAAACGTACCGACGTAGCCAGCGCCGACACAGCAGATGTTGCGCACAACGATTGGGCGTGGAGCTGCATCCGCCATGGCCGAATTTAGAGACTGACTATTGTGCCATAGTCTTCCTACAAAGCCAGTGCTTTCCTCTGCAATGCCGTCCGGGTTGCGTGGCCGCAAGACGGGGCTGAAGGATAAACTCCCCTCAGGTGTTGTCGGTGCTGTCGACTGGTCGCAGAAGGTACTCTCCTCGGAGTCAACCACAGACGGCGAGAGTGAGTTCATGTCCTCCAACTACTGTCGGAGCAGGACACCAGGGAACTATCCGCCACGGTGCACTCTCGATGGCTTGTAGACTTGCCGCGAGGCTTGGAGTAACGACAGGGGATCGAACACAGACTTTTCTCGACGTAATTTGCTAGGGCAGGACGTAGTAACAGTGATAGCCGTCAGTTCGCTGTTCACAAGGCAAAGATGGATTATGGGGACTCTATCGCTCAAGTGTCCTGGAAGACTGGAGTCACAGAACTGGAGATATCGACAAACGAGTCAAAGAAATGTGTGAAATGTGTCTCGTGACGTGTTCAACTGCGGAATGTGCTTAGGCCTGATATCGCGAGCCGCACAGCAGTTACCGAAAAGGAACGGGGAGCTCGGCAACAGGGGAAACCGAGGCAGGGCGTAGTAAAGGTGGCACGTATGAGATGAGGTCATGCCGAGTTGCAGTAGCTATGACAAACAGTATGCGGCTGCAATGTGTCTTGCAGGGAGAGATAAGGATGCAAGGCCAAGCTGACGGACCAAGGAATTATACGGGTTGCGCGGCTTGGGCTAGAAGAAGGATGCGCGAGACCTGGTCGATTTGTGATGCGCGATAGGGACAAGACTTAAGCGGTTGGTCGTAGAGGCTGCCGCTGATAAAGGACACCAGGATGGGCGGACCGGAAATGGTTGAAGAGAAGCATGGAAGGAAGGGTAGACACAGTGGGTGAATTAATAGATGAGCAGGTCCGTATGGGTGTGGTGGGAAGAAATCAGTATGTGATTGTTAAAGCCAATACCCGCTCAAAGGCAGATGAACACATTATGCGCACGCATGATCTCTTCATACCGAGGAGCTTTAGAGATCAACCCCAGACTGCCCTTCCCGAACGTCAATCTTCCGCGACCCAGTAGGTCTAGCAGTCCTGGTACTCCTGCCCTCCTTCACGCCAGACACTCACTCACATGGTTGGACAAATTGCACGGGAAATTGTTCATGTATCACGGGCACTAGACGGGGTCATACTGAAAGGCTGCGATTATGTACTACTTAAACACCGGCGTAATTCTCATTCTGAGGCTGTGAGTGGTGATGGGTCGTTGGCGCGGATTCTCTGGTGAGGGATGCTACTCCGGATGGTACTAGGATGTCGAACAAAAGCAGCCTCACATATGCAACAGGTTATCAAGATGGAGGGGTGATGGCTTGGTGAGTCCGTTCTTTTCCGACCTCTCAGCGAAGTAAAAAGTAGTGGATGGGACGGCTTATGAGAAGGCGGGACGATCACATTACCGGTTTGGTGTATGGGACTGATAAGAAGAGAAGGAGTGTCCAGACTCCACAAAGAAGAGAGACTATGAGAGAATGGCCCCGGGTGCAGGCTCGCACCCTGAAGGCAAAGAGCGGTGTCCGTTCGAGGAGTGACCGACCGCGAAGCGGGAAGAGTCCAGTCTCCTGAGACACGAAGCAATGAAATGACAATGATAGCGGAGGCTCTTAGACATTGACGCTGACGCTGACAACCAACCAACATGTTCACGGGGCTGTGACGGTCGCTGTTAATTCGCGCCTGTTAAGCGCCTCCGCAGTTGTGGGACCTGCCTACAGCAGCCAGATCTTGGGGGCTTCTTGAAAACCCCATGCTATCGCCATCTATCGCGATAGCCCGCTTTGGGCGAACGAAGTTGGGCGACCCATCAAACAGCCCGCCAGATCCCCTGCGCGGAGCCATGTGCGGAGTTGGCTGGCTGGCTAGCTGACTGGTTTGCTGGGTTTGGCATGGTTACTGTGGTAGTATTGTGGCCAAGCAGGTATGCAAATCGCCCGCGACTCAGAGAAATTACCGATGGCGAAGTTGGCCAGCCAGGTCCTCTCGGTTGTTCTCCTGCATGGCATTTTCGCTACCTGCCGTTTAGGACGCCGAACAAGCGTACCTTGCTTTGCATCGAGTACTATGCCGGAAACGTTAGAGTTCACCAGGTAGTGCAGGAAAAGGGAGAGCGGCAGCTTGGGGGAGCTCAATCGAGAAATTTGACAAGGGTTGGACGGTTTCCAAGTCAGACTGAAGACCGAACCACAGACCAGGCATGCGGCCTGGTGAGCAGAGAGACAGAATAAACCAAGGAGAAAAGAGAACCAGAGTGATGGGCGATCGATTGACCAATGCATACCAGCCACAGCAGACTCGTGCCCGGCTGGCTAGTCCGTCATTGCGAACGCAAATGTCACCGTTATCAGTAAAGCCACACCACATGCAAGACCTTGAAGCACAGCTGCAGGTCAGACTGCTGCTTGGGGCGACCTCATTCACTCCAGGGGCAGGGCAATGAACCAGCCCTGGCCACCTCCATCTCCAGACGACTGGACTTGCTAGGTACTGGCCCCACTGGGTGTCTTATGTGCAACGCTCAGTTCCATAACGCGAAGCTGCCTTTCCACAGGGTGAACAAGTGTCTATCTAGCTCGACGCCAACTAGAGCAGCAAGGACCTGACGGTGTCTCTTCGCATTGATACCAACCAACCAATAGTCTCAAGCAATCTTGCATGTGTGTGAGATTGGAGATTCCCATGGCCCTACAATGTGAATGGGTCCGCTCTTACGGTCATGGTAGAGAGGGGGTGGAGATCCGTGAACGTAGGTCAAATGAAATGAAAGGGGGGAAAGCTAGCTGCCTAGCTAGACTGGGCCATGGCAAACATGTCCCATTACTGCAAAATATACATCCACATAGGCGGTACCGTACGGTACACCTTCTGTGAGTGCCCAGGTGATAAGGTCAAAGCCAGCCTAGGATTGGGAGGTGCAGAAAGATCCTTGACAAAAGCTAACATATGGGGAGATATCTTATCTGCCTACCATGGCGAACACGTGGAAACGAACCTTGGATAGTCAGATGCTAACAGGGGGTGGCGAACCCGCCTGGATCGTTACTTACACGGAGTCATGGGGGTGACTCTTTGAATAGGTGGAGAAACACTGCCAGTCAGTTTTCAGACCAGAAAAACGTGCCGACTTACACAAATCGCCAATGCGGCGGCCCCAGCATTTCCACCATCGCCTACGGCACCTCCTCCTTCTGCGGTAATATCCGATGTATTCTTGTGCGCTGCGAAACCTGGGTGCGTGCACATCCGACCTCGCCAACGCAATGTCACACAGGCTGTGGCACTATTCAGAGCGCTTGGATGGCTAATTCATAGAGTCCCTTGGGGGAAAGGCGCGGCGCCTTAGCCGCAAAAAAGAAAAATTCCATGCGTGATGCAACATGCAAGATGCAGTGAGTGTACCATTGGCATTTCTAGCTATCCTAGGCTGAAAATCATTACATATGGATTAATTAACACATCGGCCCGGGCAGTGCTTCTTTATCTGCCTCAATCTGAGTCTCTTGTCTCGGCCCTGAGAGTTGCACTGCGCAATGCGGCGATTACAGGGCAGGTTGTGCCCGTCCCGCATGATGCCGAGGACGGGGGCACAATCGGGCTGACACATGACTCCAGATAGCCAAATGGCGATGGGCAGGCCGTCTCATCTGATCTCATGCCAATTGCAATTGATTCATCCCTATCCTGCTCTTCCTCCTCCGACCTGACGTTCCCCTGTCCCTTATCATTGCGCGCGCGAGTCCAGCCCTCTACAAAGCTAGCCAGCGCACTAGTCATTGTACAGTACTGTACCTACATTACATTGCAAACAATACATCGGGGCGCTGCCGAAGCCCCGCTGACACACACTTCCTGGCCTTCCTTGACCGTGACATGGGCAAGTGAGCCGCCCAGGGCTTCAAGGTACCACAAGACAAAAGACTGCTGTACCGTCTTTGTGTATGTTGGGCACCACACGGATGATATCCGCGATTGCAACCCATTGCAGGACGTGTCGCTCACGGCTTTCCCCATTTCCAAATCATTTCCATGCCGAATGAAGGTATCTAGGCCTCGATATTTGGCATATGCGCTGTTTTTTCCAAGATCACAGGCAAGAAATTATTCAGTGCTCATGGATTAAGCCACCAGTTCAAGGTACCAATCAACAACCGTGGACATCCACGCTTATTGCAATTTCTTTCTTGCGTCGACAGTCCTTGAGTCAACTACTCAAAAGGAAGGGCCAGCTCGGCAGGATAGGTGACGAATACGAGAAAAGAAGGCCGAGATATGGCCTCCGCGTTCAAAGCTCAAGCCCAGCCTTGCTCGGGGTCGCTTCACGATGTCACCGTCTTCCCTTCTGCTCTCCATGGCAAGCGCGTTCTTCTCTGTACGGAATCGTTCGGGCCTGTCAACGGGGTGAGCCGCACAACGCTCATGTTGGTAACTCACCTGCGTGCCCATGGCGTCCAGGTAGCTGTTGTCGCTCCTCATAACCACACCAAGCATGACACCTTTGTCCCGTCCAATGCGGCAGCTACCGGCGTGAATCCCGCCCAGATGAATGCGGCCGCGAAGAACGTGGAGTTTCGCATCCATGGATACCCGCTGCCGTTCAACCCTGAGCTGAGTATTGCATACCCGGTGCGGTTATCGACCCTCTATGCGAATACATTCGGGGAGCCGCCTGATATCATCTATCTTGCCAGCCCAGCATCCCTGGGGTTCCAGGTCATGTTTCAGCTACGCCAGCAGCACCCTGCCAACCAATTGCCCATCATCTGTAACTTCCAGACTGATCTGGCCGGTTACTGCGCCATCTTATTTCCGTATCCGCTAGGCGATCTGGCTGTCTTTGCATTTGCCCGCGTGCAGAGCTTTCTATTCCGTCATTCTTCGGTAAAGACAATATTCTATCCTAGCACCTTTGTGAGGCGGTATCTAGAACAGCACGGTGTA